ACAGAAGGGTCCTTTCCTAGGTGGAGACAGGTGAAGGAAGCATGGCAGACTTCATGTATTTCTGATCCCACCGGCAAGACTCTTCCTGTTATAACCTGGATGCATCAGGCTATCGCAGCTTGATGCCATCCATTCATTCATTCATCTAACTCCCTGTGCTGATTCCATTAGCAGGACGACCTTTATATTAAACAGGGCTTCTGTGGTGCTTTAGAGATGGAATGCACTTGATTACAGGCTAATTCTGGCTGCTCAAGACGGTGATTTCTCAAGCTAAAAACTCAATAAAAGAACTTCTGATTATGATTCCACTCGGTGCCTTGCTTATGAAGGAAACGGCACAGATCATACTCACAAAAGGATTTTAGCTTGATGTGTCTTATACTTCACTGCAAGTTGATAAACGGACACTTTTAATAGCCTTTCTTCTCTGCATTTTTCAGTTGATATAAATGGGTCAGCCATCATTATCACAGGGCAACAACGAAAAAGAAAGTCTTTGAGACTTTAACACAGAGGCCCCCCCAAATAAAACACAGCATGGAGGACTTCTGCTACCAGCTGTGTAGAAGGAACTAGTACAAAATTAGTCCTCCTGTTGTAAACAACAGTAAAACTGGACCAAAAAAAAGAATCAGGTACCTCTTTTTAGACACTGGACCACAGGAAGAGCCGGACTATCATCCCTGAGACACCTGAGCCCCATGATCGCTCAGTCCCCATCTTCCTGTGGTGCAGTGAGCTGCAGGCAGAGATCGGCCCTCAGGGCAGGCGAAGTGATTGGAATCTTCAGAGCAGGAGCAGAAATCTGGGCGGGGGAGGAGTCCTTTATGAAGTGGGGGAGATGTGGAGCATGGGGACTTGCATTCAATGCTTGTGGAAGTGTAAAATGGTGCAACCACTCTGGAAAAGTGTCTAACAACATCCATGGCTATATCTCTCAGTGATTCCACTCCTTAGATATTCACCCAAGAGAAATGAAAACATATATCCACACAAAAACTTGTCTATGAATGTTCATAGCAGCTTTATTCATAATAGCCCCAAACTGAAAACAATCCAAATGGTGAATAAACAAACTGTCGTATATTTATACAACTTCATACTATTCACCAATAAAAAGGGAACAGACCACGGAGATCCAAAATATGATGAATCGCAAAGAATCCTAAGTAGAATCAATCAAAAAAGACTACATCAAGGTACATTATAATCGCTGTCAAAAGTCAAGGACATACACCATATACAAGAACAGATTCAAAGTGGATTAAAGACTTAAATGTAAGACCTGAAACCATAAAACCTCTAGAAGAAAACATAGGCAGTAAACTCTCTGATATTACTAACAGGAATTCCTTTTCAGATATATCTCCTCAGGCAAGAAAAACAAACAAAAATAAACAAATGAGACTACATCAAACGAAAAAGTTTTTGTACAGCAAAGGAAACCACCAACGAAATGAAAAGACAACCGACTGAATGGGAGAAGATATTCACTTATGATACATCTGATAAGAGGTTAATATCCAAAAATATATAAGGACTCATACAAATCAATAAGAACAACAAAAATCCAATTACAAAAATGGGTAGAAAGCATGAACAGATATTTTTCCAAAGAGGAAATACAAATGGCAACAGACATATGAAAAGATGCTTAAGGTCACTAATCATCAGAGAAATGAAAATTAAAACCACAATGAGATAACACCTCACACCTGTCAGCATGGCTATCATTAATAAATCAAAAAACAAGTATTGGCGAGATGTAGAGAAAAGGGAACCCTCATACACTGTTGGTGGGATTGACCACCACAAAGCCAGTATTATAGGAAATGTTGGAGGAACTTCTTTGAGAAGAAAAAACATGTATCAAGAACAGGAATAAAGAGTGGTAATGACTCATTCCTACCAATAGGTACCTCAAATGAAAAAGAATTACGTGCTCCAACCAAAAGATAGAGCAGCTGAAAAGATGAGAGAGCAAGACCCCTTCATATGCTGCCTACAGGAAACTCACTTCAGATTGAAAGATATACACAGACTAAAAGGAAGGGGATGGAAAAAGATATTGCTTTGATGGACCTAGAAGGTATTTGAGTCAGACAGAGAAAGATAAACACTATATAATTTCACTTATATGTGGAATCTAAGGAACAAAAAGAACAAACTAATCAAAAACAGACTCACAAATATAGTGGACAATTTAGTGATAGATGGAGAGGAGGGGGGTTGGGAGGCTGGGAGAATGGGGTGAAGGGTTAAAGAGAACAAATTAGTAGTTGATAGATGGTCCCAGGGAGGGGGAGCACGGCGGAGGGAATGCAGTCACCATGAATATGTTGGCCAGGTGGAGGGCCAGGGGAGGGAGGGAGCAAATGGGGAGATGGTTTTATGAACTATATAGATGTCTAACCAATGTACTGTATACTTGAAATTAATTTAAATAAATAATACCTTTTTAAAAGTCAAGGACAAAATGAGAATTTTGAAAGCAGCAACAGAAAAGTGACTTATCACATACAAGGGAACACCCATAAAACTATCAGCGGATTTCTCAGCAGAAACCTTGCAGGCCAGGGGGAAATGGTATGATATATTCAAAGTACTGAAAGAAAAACTAAAGGCCATATGAGAAAATCCACAGCTAATATCATAATCAATGGGGAAAAACTGAAAGCTTTTCTTCCAAGAATCAGTACAAGGCAAGAATGCCTGCTTGTGCCACGTCTTTTCAACATGGTACTGGAAGTCCTATCCAGAGCAATTAGACAAATAAAAACAAACACAAACAAATTTTAAAATAAATAAAAGGCATCCAAATCAGAAAGGAAGAATTAATTTTATCTCCATAGATGACATGACAATATATATAGGAAACTCTAGAGAAAAAAAATAAAATTACAACTAGTAAATTCAGTAAAGTTGAAGGATTCAAAATCAATACACAAAATCAGTCATATTTCTATATACAAACAATGAACTATCTGAAAGGAAATTAAGAAAACAATGTCATTCACAATAGTAACATAAAGAATAAAATACTTAGTAATAAACTTAACCAACTAGATGAAAGGCTTGTACACTGAATATTATAAAACATTGATGATGAAAATTAAAGATGATACAAATAAATGGAAAGACTTCCTGTGCTCATGGGTTGGAAAACTTAATACTGTTAAAACATCTATATTACATAAAGCAATCTACAGAGCCAATGCAATCCCTACCAAAAACCCAATGGCATTCTCTACAGAAATAGAAAAAAATCCTAAAATTCATCTAGAACCTCAAAAGACCTCAAACAGCCAAAGCAATCTTGAACAAGAACAACAAAGCTGGAGGCATCGCACTTCCTGATATCAAAACAGATTTCAAAAATCTATTTTAAAAAATGGTATTAGGGACGTGGTTCCATAATGTAGCAGTTAATACCTCTGCTTTACACGCAGAAGATCCTGGGTTCACACCCCAGTGAAGCCAGGGTCTACAGTCTATGGCTATGTCACCCTGAACAAGCCCGATGTCCGATCTCAGAACCTAAACAGGGTCAGGTCTGGTTAGTACTTGGATGGGAGACCACCTAGGAAGACCAGGTGCCGTAGGCATAAATAATAATTTTAAAAAAATGGTATTGGCATAAAAAGACACACAGACCAATGGAACAGAGTAGAGAGCCCAGCAATAAACCCATGCATATACAGTCAACTAATCTTTGATCAGGGCTCCAAAAATACAGTGGGGAAAGGACAGTCTTTTCAATAAGCAGTGTTGGGAAAACTGGATATCCACATGCAAAAGGATGAAATAGGACCTCTAATACCACTCGAAAAAAAAGAACTCAAAATGAATTAAAGACTTCCATATAAGACCTGAAACTAAAACTCTTAAAAGAAAACATAGAGGAAAAGCTCCATGACATAGGTCTCAGCAATGATGTCTTGGATGTGACGCCAAAAGCACAGGTAACAAAATTAAAAACAGACGAATGGGAATACTTCCAACTCTAAAATTTCTGCACAGCAAGGAATGAGTGAAAAACCAATCTACAGAATGGGAGAAAATACTTACACTACATATCTGATAAGGAATTAATATTCAAAATATATTTTAAAAACCTTCTACAACTTAGTAAGGACAAAAAAAAAAAACAACACATAGTCTGAGTAAAAAATGGGCATAGGACTTTTTCTTTATTCATCTATTAACATTTAGGTTGCTTCCACCTCTTGGCTATTATGAATAATGCTGCAAAGAGCATGGTTGTGCAAATTAACTGCTATATTGCCATTCTGGGCCAATAATTCTTTGCAGTGAGGGCTGTCCCTGTGCACTGTAGGGTGTTGAGGCAGCATGGCCGGCCTCTACCCACTAGATGTCAGTAGCACCACACCCCCTTCCCAACAAAACGTATTCATACATTATTGCCAAGTATTGGGTGGGGCGCAAAATCGCCCCTCAGCTCCAGCATAAGTGGTATCCTGGTTGCTGCCACCAAGACTTGAGGGATCGAGGGCTCTTCGTAAATACAAACTCCGTGGCAACTTACAAAACATTTTTTTTTCCTCAAAAGTGGCAGAGGTCGGAAGGCTGTCATCCTGCACGAAGGGCAAAGCTAGATGAAGAAACGGCAAAAAACTAGACTCCCTAGACTAGCAAGACCACTGCGGCTACGAGTCCGTCCCAAGGTGATCAGCGACACGCCTCCCACGCTCCCACGGGGCGCAGTGCACGCTGGGGCTTGTAGTTCCGGCGTGCGAGGACCTGCGCACGCACCACGCCCCTCCCGGCTTCCTCGCGGGCGACTTCCTCTAAGAACCACTGACCGCCGTTCCCGGAAGCTGAGCAGGTTAAAGTTTCAACGCTTCCTTTCCCCGCCTCTCAGTCGCCAATCCAAGTAGCCAATAGGTGGCCTGACTGGAGCTTTCTTTTATCTGATTGGCTTAGAGTTTTGTCGCCGTCCGGACAAACTGGCCGGGGATTGGCCAAGCCTTCAGTTTTGAAAATCGTAGGTTTCGCCCGCGCTGCGCTGCCCCATTGCGGCCGAGGAGCCGTGAGCCTTGGAGTTTGGGAGTTTAGGGTCTGAGCCGGCGGGGATTTCTTCTTGGGAGGCCGCTGGACTTAGATCGGAGCAACACTTAGGAGACGCGGTGCAGTCGAGTGAGTGCGCACGGGCGGCCGGCGGGAGTGGGGGATGGTTGGCCTTTGTTACCCCTCCAACAACCCCGGACCGTGGGCGTGACCCCCTCCCCTCTTTCGGCCTGGGAATGGACAAGTCACCACTTCTACGTGGCAAGGTGATCTGCTTTGGTCCTGGGGCCTGAGATGACCCCGCACCTTCCACCTAGGTCACCAGGTTCCGAGAGAATAACCCCGTCCCCTCCCGGTGCCTAGCACCTTGCTATGTGCCTGGGAGGCCCTTTGCTGACTTGGGCTCGCGGAAGTGCACACCGATCGAGTTGCGTGATGGAATTGTGCCAGATGGCATTTCTGTACAGTTAACCCTCGCTCAACACCTCCCCCTCCAGCTGAGCAACGTTTTAAACTTACCGTTTGCGGAGGCCAATGCCGCCCCTTATCTTGTCACTCCCCAAGCACGTTTGCTGTCAGCGATTCGGTTCTATCCAGCCACCGTGGCCTTCTTTGGGAGGCCCAGAGTCAAAACTTGGCACCTGCCTTTCAAAGCCTGAAATCGAGTAGGCAGCATAGCTTGTGGTCAAGCACAGATACTGCACACGGGTATCCCAGAGGTCGTGGTGAGAATTAAATAAGATGATGCCCAACCTGGGCATGGAGTAGGACTGTAAATGGGAGCAGCTATTACGACCCTTCTTCACTGAGGTGTGGTAAAGGGTTGGGTGCTCGACTTCCTGCACCTTCAAAAGAACGGGCATTGCAAGGAGGGCAGTGGGGCCTCTAGCCTGGTGCACGGTGTGAGGCTACTATCCGGAGAAAGATGAGCCCCCTTCTTTCGAGGTGGGATGTTGGGTGCTCCGGGTTTGTGCACAAGTTCTTACAGGAGCTGTAGAGAATTTTCCTGCTCTTCCCAGAATCCTCAGTCTTAGGACACTGACTGCTCCTTTCCCGGAGTCACTTTTGTTCTAACTTATGGTGTGACCCTTTCTAAAGCTGAGGTCTGCTAAAAACAAATTTCCTCAAGGAAAAAGCCCAAATGCTTTTTTGCACTTGGTGAAAGAAGCTCTAACCCACTTTGCCATTTCGAACAAATAGTTAAAAAATAAAATAAAAGATAGCAAGTTTTTGCTTTCTGTAGCTCCTCTGTGAAACTTTATTTTGGTTTTGGCTTCCTTAAATAATTTTCTCTTTCCTGGCCTTGAATTGGGGTCCTATACTTTGCCAAGGCTGAACTCTGGGGCAAAGAGGCTGGAGGAAGCCAGAGGGATGACAGCGGAGAGGCTCTATCCCCATGACTGGCTGGCTGCAGAGCTGTCTCTATCCAAAGCCTCTGCGATCTTGCCCAATTGGCCCTGCCCTGATTAGTGCTGCTTTTGGCATCTAGGATCAGGACGAGCATGGCATGTCCTAACCTGTGTACAATGAGCTTATTTGGTGTCCTTGTGTGTGTGTGTGTGGGGGGGTAACTGTAGGACGTTTATTTCTAATGTAGAGTTGATAGGTGGATTAAATCATTCAACAAGTATTTCTTTCGTGCCAGGCACTGTGCTGGGCTCTAGGCTTTCAGCGACAGGTGAGACAGACAAGGGCTTGCCTCAGGGAGCAAATCTTTACTGGGCAGTAAGCAAACCGATAAACAATCACCCAAGTGCCATACAGAGAATTGAAATCAATGGATGGGATCATGGCCGATAGTCAGGTCCTCCTTCAGTTGTTGAGATCCAAGTAATGAGAAGCAAGCTGTACAAAATAGGAGACAGAAGGTTCCAGACAGAGGCCAAAACTTGTTCAAGGAACAAAGGGCTGTGTGCCCTGGAAATCAGACCGCTGGAAGTCTTACGAGGTTGCAGCACGACCTGGTGTTAAGCTCTATCGGGTGTCAAGGGGTGACTTAGCCTCTCCTTCCAGGAGCTTCCATCTTAAGTGGGAGGCTGAGCTTTGTGTGGTTCTTGGTTTTGAAGGTATAGTTCGAGGTAATAGGTCACTGCCACGGTAGGAGACATGCTATTATTATGGCTTATGAACTTCACTTGTTCTTTTGCTCACTCACGAGACATGCTATTATTATGGCTTATGAACTTCACTTACTTGTTCTTTTGCTCACTCATCCATTCGGAATATTTACCGAGCCCACGCTATGACTCTAATGGAACACTTCTTCCTTGCCTGAGGCTTCGGTGATGATATTACAACCGAGTCTTAAGGGAGGAGACCTGAGCTGCTGGCTTTTTAAGAAATTAAGAGAAAACTGGTTTTGTCTTTTCCCCTGCCTGATATTTCCAGATGAGTTTTCTTAAAAATAAGACATTGCTTATCTGCTCCCCTCACGCTCCCTCATCCATTTCTAGGGCATTTCAGGTCAAGGGAGAGGGTTACGGGGATCCCTTGGAGAAGAGTGTGTCTCTGCCCCCTACTTTCTTACCGACTCCTTTGGAATGCAGTACCCCTTCTGTTCACTGACCTTTCGAAGAGGCAGCTGGATTTGATGTCTTTGGCCTGAGGCCTGAGGCCAGCTCGTGTGGCTGTGTGCAAGCCCTCACTCAGCTACAGGGAGAAAGGGAGAGAGAGCCCACAGGAGAGGAAGAGCAGGGCTGTGTTTGTGCAGGTAGCGGGGGGTCCTGTGGTAGCCGCAGTTCCTCCCCGATCCAGGAGGGGAGTTGTCCAGGCCTTGTCATTTTAAGCCCCATTTGTAAGGAGGTCTTTTGAAGCCAGAATGGACTGGGAAGTGTGGCTCTATGGGGACAGCGTGCTGTGGGGTGGGTGGGTAGGTGGGTAGAGGGAAGGGCGAGTAGGACGAGCCCTTCTTTTTGCAAAAATGAGGCTAAATGGATTGGCATTTGGACTCTGCATCTCTGGAGAAGGGCTGTAAGCAGAGAGGGACCCTGATTCAGGAACTGGGTGTTTCGTGGTGAGTGGGACGTGGATGCTATGGCCTGGCAGGCTCCTCCCCTGGAGAGAGCTCCAGTCCCCAGCCCTGAGCCCTCCTGCCTCTTGTCTCTGCTTTCACCAGGCAGAGCGACCATGGGGACCACAGCCCCGGGGCCCATTCATCTGCTGGAGCTGTGTGAGCAGAAGCTTTTGGAGTTTGTCTGCAATGTGGACAATAAGGACTTGGTGTGGCTCGAGGAGATCGAAGAGGAGGCTGAGCGCATGTTTACCAGGTGAGGGCAGGGGCGTGGTGGCAGGAGGCACCGGGATCTCCTGGCTGCTATGGCCTCGGGGACGCAGCAGCCTACTTCCCCACCTGACAGGCAAGACAGACAGGCTGCCGGGGGTCTCTCCTGAGTGGCCCACCTAGTATAACGGGAAGAGGAAGGAGAAGTGGTGGGCTGGGCCTCAGGATGGGGCTGCATATGCTTTACCTGGCAACCTTGTTCCCCTGCCGTATCTCTGGGAGGAAGCCCCAAGTGCCTGGCAAAGGACTTGCACATGGCCTTGGAGAGCTCTCTTGGTGATGGTTGCACCAGCTTGACCTGTCACTGCCAGGAAACAGCCAGGGGTTGGGCTGGGCGGGGAAGGGGCCAGTGGTCTCTAGGCCGCCACAACAGTGCCCTGCATGTGCCAAGCAGAGAATTCAGCAAGGAGCCTGAGCTGATGCCTAAGACACCTTCTCAGAAGAACCGACGGAAGAAGAAACGTATTTCTTATGTTCAAGATGAAAACAGAGACCCCATCCGGAAAAGGTAGGAGGGGCCGGGGGCTTTGACTAGCCAGAGAAGGGTCGTCTGGTCAGGCGGGGTCTGGAGGCTTGGTGCCCACCGGCAGAGTTTGATCCTCAGGTGCTAACTGGGAGCAGAGGCCTCCAGGAGTAGTGGTGGGTACCACGTGGGCAGCGCAGGGGAGAGACATCACGGGGAAACGAAGCGTGACCCAAGACCGTGGAGTCCAGGGAGGGGGGGTGCAGGGTGGGAGTGACTGGTCTGGGCCTTAGAGGCTGGGAAGGGTTTTAGAGGTGGGAGAATAGAGAGGACCCAGCCTTCTGCTTGGGTGACAGTGACCATAGCTGTGGACCAGGAGGTCTTGCTCAGCACCTTGTGCTCTGCTTGTCATGGTGCCCATGGAAATGACCGTGGGCTGCAGACTGCCGGAGAAGGGGGCAGGTTGTTGGGGTCAGGAGGCCCCGGCTCACACCCCAGCTCTGCCCCTTAGTAGCCATACGTCCTTTTGTTGATATTTTACCTCTCTGAGCCTCAGCCTCCTCGAATCTAAGGTAAGAATGGTCCATCCTGTGGATTAAGTGACAACATGAGTAGAGCCTGCAGCAGGGTGCTTGGCACCGTGCGACCTCAGTCAGCGAGAGGTTTCTGTGACTTCACCCCTCCCAGCAGTTCCGTGCGGACGGGCGTTATCCCTGGGCAGGGAGACTGAGGCTCAGAGAGGAGCAGCCCGGGGTCTCATAGCTGGGGGGTGGCGGAGCCCCGATTAGAACTTCAGTCTTCTTCCTCTAAGCCCTTCATTTTGTGTTCCACCCGCGCCGGCGGCTCCTGGGAAGACTGGTGCCCCCACTCGAATTCCGGGGTGCCTCCCTGCTCTGCTGGGCCATCTCAGCTTCTGCTCTGCTGCCTCTGGCAGGTTGTCCCGCAGAAAGACTCGGAGCAGCCAGCTGAGCTCCCGGCACCTGCGGAGCAAGGACAAGGTGGAGCAGCTGGCCACGGCGGTGGCGGAGAACGGCTCTGTCCTGCGGCGGGTGACCCGGGCCGCAGCTGCCGCTGCCGCAGCCAACACGACTGCTGCTTTGCCCACCCCGGAGTCTCCCACAGCACTGACCAAGAAGCCCAAGAACAGCATCGCCAAGTGCCAGCTGGTGCCCATGGTGGAGATAGGTGTCAGCGAGCGCTGCAGTGCCGAGCTACACCTCAGCCAGCTCAAGTCTGCCCGCACTCCGGCCCCCGCTCCGGCCCCCGCTCCGGCCCCCGCTCCGGCCCCAACCCCGCCTCCAGCTCCAACCCCGGCTCCAGCCACAGCGCCGGCCTCCCAGATCACCTCAGTATCCGATGAGGAATGTCTGACTTCTTCATCACCTAAGAAATCAGAATCTGTCACCGTGAGCTCCCTGATGACCACACCCCAGGACCCCAAGGGACGAGGGGTCGGAGCAGGCCGGTCTGCCTCCAAGCTCAGGATTGCGCGGACCTCCCCAGGCCTACAGGACTCACCTGGCTCTCCAGCCTCGCCGTGGCGGGAGCGGGTGCTGGCTCCCATCCTGCCGGATAACTTCTCCACGCCGACGGGCTCCCGTGCAGCCCCACAGTCGATGCAACGCAGCCCGATCGCCCCGTCCTCCCCAGGTCCCCAGGCTTCTCTGTCCCAGAAGTACTCCCTGGTGGCCAAACCGGAGGGCACCGTCCGTAGGTCAAGCAGAAAGATTACCAAGAAGGCCACCAAAGAGCAGGCCCCCTCTGCCCGCATCATCTGTGAGTGGGGGCTCGGCAGTGGGTGGGGTGCTGTGGGGGTGGCGTTGGTGATCAGCTCGGCCAGCAGGGCTCTGGGGGACCAGCTCATCTAGCAAGGAGCTATTCATAGAACTTTCCGTGATGATGTAAGTAAGGGTTCCAGATCTGCTGTTCTGTACTAGCTAGCCACATATGGCTACTGAACCCTCAAAACGTGGCTGGCGTGACTGAGGAACTGAATTTTAGGTTTAAATAGCTACGCTTAGCAAGTGGCTACTATATTGATCAATGCAAATCTTGGCCAACCCTCTTGTTTTAAAAATGAGGAAACTGAGGTCCAGGGAGGTTGCCCGCAGTGTCCGTGTGGGTAATGCCATTCTGAACCTCGAACCTGGCCTTTTTAGAGGATCGACATGTTCTTTCTACCTCCCGAGGCTCTCTGAGAGTCACATGATTGCGGGTTGCTCCTATTAGTGAGACTTTGATCTGGAGATACTGAGGTGCGGAGATGTGAATAGTCATCACAGCCGGCTCATTCCGTCAGGGACGGAAACCTGGGTTTGAGTGCCAGCTCAGCCGTTTACCCACCCTGCAACCTTGGGCAGGTTACGGGGACTTCTTCGTGGGCCTCCGTTCGTCATTTGTCTGCTGGGGTAATAATGGCATCACGTCAAAGGGTTGTTGCGAGGTTTTCTTTGGCTAACCCACGTAGGGTGCTTAGAACAGACAGTGTTTGCCGTGTAGGAGGGGCTCTGTAACGTTAGCCGTTTTTATCATCATCGGATCCCAGCTCAGGGGACTGTTGTCCCCACGGGAGCAGATGTTACGAGCCACAGAGGAAGACGGGCAGCTCCGAGACTCAGGGCTGGCTGCATGAAGGGAGTGAGGTTTTCCCAGGTGGGAGGAATGTGGGGAAGGAATCCCCGGCAGAGGGGACAGCTTGGAGGAAGACCCCGAGTCACGAAATGGCAAGTGAAGGGGTATCTGGGGCTCATCTGCCACCTGAGGGGCTTGGGCTCGATCCTGCTAATGTGGGGGATTGGCCCCTTGATGGTTGTTGGGGGAGGTTCCCGGCACTGAAAAATGGCCAGGAAGGAAGAAGGCGGGGAGACCAGGCAGGAGGCTGCTACTACCTTTCCAGCCAGAGAACGGAGAGTCCGTGGTATCGATGGAGAGCGCGCAAGCCAGGTTTTACACTGATGTGTGTCGACATCTGCCTGGCACTTTAAGATTTATAAAAGTCAAGATTATCTCATTTGGTCCCTGCAGCAGCACTGCCAGCCTGTTAGGGTTTCCTCACTTCACAGAGAAGGACGCTGAGGTGTAAGGAGCTCACCGAGTCTATAAACTGGGGAGCCGGGGCTTGAGCCCCACGTGTTTTGTCCTTTCCAGGCTGGCAGCCACTTGCCAAGGGTGCCTGGCAGAAAGCCTTGAGGTGGGGTTCAGTCAGGCAGACGCACCCTGCCAGGGAAAGGGCTTGCTCTGGGCCATGGGACTCAGGGACACGGACTCTGGGGCATGAGCAGGCATGCGGTCTGGCACACTGTCTCTTTTTGGATTCTCAGAAGCGCCGAGATGGCTCTGACCTGCCTTGGGGATTTCCTCGGGCCTGAATCTGATCCCAAGAAGAGGCCCCACGGGGTGGGCAAGCTTGGAGCTGCAGAGTGGGGGTGGGAGAGACTCTAGAGGCCCCTGCGTGCTTTTGGATTTGCAGCACTGAAGCCATTCTGATTGCTCTCCCCCTAGGCCTTCTGCATTGATTTGCATTTGGCCCAGGCCTGTCTAACTCCAGGCCCAGGGCTGTCCACCCTGAGGTGGAAAGAAGAAGGTGAGGAGGGAGACAGTTCTGGTCTCATCAGAAGAATCTTTAGGCATTAGGAAGTTTGAAGCTCACGATGGTAGATTCCTGTTTTCCAAAATTCTATTTTTGACTTCTTTTTTTTTTGCTCAATTTTTCATTATTGGTAACAAGTCCTCTTAGTTGTTTTAAGTGACAGGCTCACTTTGTTCATTTGGAAGAAAATGTCTGCCAAATGCTTAAGCTTGAATAACCACAGCTTGTCAGTTGTTCCTTCAGTTATAAACTATTCCATGAGAAGAGTGGCTAGTTTAGCTGGGAACTCACACAGTGCTCTTCACAGGGACTTGGGCATGCTTCCTATTTTATCACACAGAATCTCAGAAAGACATATACTTCAGTGTAGATTTAATAAAACGACTAGTTTCTATTCCTTCATCAAGGACCTTCTTAAGTGAAACTGGATATTTCTGTCCTGTGAGTATGGAGAGGGTCTCTGATGTAGAGAGGGTCTGTGTCTAATGAAGGGTTGGGGCTCTGAGGTGGAGAGGATCTGGCTCCAGACTAGGAGTGGCCAAGTCTCCACCAGAGCTAGGCTTCCTGGACCTCTTGGAGTGGCACCTGGCCAGTTTCTCAGGTTATCTTTTGTTCCTTTGTTTTCCCCTCAGGTCACAGTTACCTAGAGAGGCTCCTGAATATTGAGGTGCCCCAGAAAGTCAGGTGAGTTCAGTTCCAGGGCTTAGAGACCTTCCCAGGGGTGTGCAGAGCACACTGGGGCCAGGTTGTCCAGGTGTGCCCCAGGGACAGAAGCATTTCCTGTGCCCGAGGCCTTCCCTCTTGCTGGGGACTGCCCATGGGCTGCCCACTGCTGCAGCCCTGCTCCTTGCCCCAGTCTAACCAGGCAGCGATCGAAATGGGTGTCATTTGTCAGCCCTGGCCTTGACCCCTCCAAGCCTTTCCCTGGGCCATGGGCTCCACAGGGTATCAGATCCAAAGGCCTATGGGTGAGCTAGTGCAGTTATGAGGAGACACACTCAAGTTGGGGTGGGTTGAGTGGGAGCAGGGGATGTTCCCTGCTCCAGGATCACACCCCAGCACCGTTTTGGGCCAGCACTCCTTGTCCTAGAGGCCATATCCTGCTATCACTAAAACTAGGTCCACACCCTTGCTTTAGAGCAAAGGGTCAACGCTTGGCATGGGGAGACGGGCTGACTGGGCAGAGCTGCTGGCTTTGCTGGTCCCATGGTGAAGGGAGAGGCAGGCCTCAAAAAAGACGTGGCTCATCCAGGCCTAAGGAGTTGAGGCGGAGCTGGGAAAGAGCTCACGTCCCGAATCAAGGTCCTGATGGGGGTGAGGTAAAACCAAATTCAGAAGCTGACGTGCCTCATCTGCCCAGGCAGCAGAGCTCCAGGAAGCCACAGGCTCTGGCCGCTGCCCTCCCATCCTGCCTGGGGCTGTTGCTTTGTGGCCCCAGCCAGGGCATCCGACATGGACTCCTCCTGGGTCTCTACCCCAGGGGTTGAGGGAAGGGCTCCTATGGGTCAGTTTGGGCTGGGTGGGTCCCACAGTGTCCCTTGCTCTGCTTTCAGCCCCAAGCAGAAAGAGCCCAGCGAGGAGGCCGAGTCTGCGGAGGTGGCTGAGCCTGCGGAGGTGGCTGAGCGTGAGGTAAGGTGGGCAGAGCAGGGAGGGCAGGTCCCAAGGGTCTTGGGGCTTGTGCCCTGCGCTGTGAGTCTCAGATGCAGACCCCTAAAGCCTTGGTTCTTCCTCCAGGTCCCCAAGAATGACGGGAATACCTTGTGGTCCCACAGTGCTACCAAGATCGCCATTAGCACGCCGGGCTCGCGGCCTGGGGCTGGTGGCCAGGAAACATCCTCTGAAGGGCAGCAAGGTGAGGCTTCCTGACCTGCTGCATGCAGATACGTAGGGCCACGTGGGCCTTGGTGGCCTCGGCCTGACTTTCTCTCGGGGGTCCTGTTTTCTGGGCTGATAGGCTGAAGGTAAATGAAACATGAGGCCCAGGGGTGCATAGTTCTCCTTTGGTTCTGTAGGTTTCATTTCCCACTTTTTAGGAGGAGCTGCTGCCGGGTGCCATGGGAGTGGCCATGGCTGGTTGGTGCAGGCAGCAGAGGGTGGGGGCAGGGCCTGGACTGGGGCATTAACATAAATGTGCCGGGTCAAGGCCTTGAGCTCCATGCCGGGGGCAGCAGGAGGAACCATGAGCTGGGGTCTGAACACCGGCCTCTCGTTTCGTTTCTGCTGGTGGCTTCTCACCTTCATGGGTGCCCTGTCTTCAGAGAACGGAAGAGCCGTGGGCCATGGCATCCCCACGCTGCCAGAGGTCCCTCAGGGTCGGGCTCACATCTCCCTGGTGGGAAGAGCTATGTCATTATGAGGTCCTGGATGTGGTCCCCTCAACAGCCGCATGTCACGGACAGTGGCTGTACCAGCCCCACAGCCCCGGGGGTGCTGCAGGGACCTCTTGGAATACAGAGTATCAACAGGCAGGGGGAGCGATCAGCTTTCTCCTGGCAGTGGAACAAAATGTGCTGACCCCACACCCCATGTGGGCCCTGCGTGAGAGCCCTCCCCTCCTCTCGTCCCCCTGGCTCCAGCCAAAAGGGCCGGGAGGAGCGGGAGTTCGAAGCCTGTGGAGGGGTCTGTTAGAGCTCGCAGCATCCATCGGCTTCAGCTCCTGAAAGGCGTTCCCCAGCTCTCTGTTAGACATGGGCGGGACATAGTTGGGGCCACCGCGGGCTCGTCCTGCTGTTCTTAGAGGTCAGCCATGGGGGTGAGGGGTCTTTGGGCAGGGAGGAACACGCCGGTCCCTGGACATCCACAGATTTGTCAGGGCCCGTTGGTGCTGAGACTGACGCTTCTGCCACTGGCCACTCTGAGGCCTGCCAGGAAGAGAGCCTTGCTTTTGCCCTGGCTTGCAGACACTGTTCCCTGACCCCTCCATGTTGTCCTCGCGGCCTCACCGAAATTGTTCTCTTCACAGAGGCCAAGACCGACCAAGCAGGTGACCCCAAGGAGCCACCCCAGAGTGTCAGGTTTGCATTTGAGGAGGGCCGTGCAGGCCACTGCCCCAAGGGGCCCTGCGGAGCCTCGCTGGGGAGGGTGGGCATGTGGTTAGGGGCTTCCGTTTCCTCTCAGCAGGGGTGGGACCTGGCGCCCTGACTTAGTGAAGGAGGCAGGTTGATACTATGGGATGAGCCTGGCCTGGGAGTGAGCAACCAGATCTAGACCCCATCCTTCTGTGTTCCGGTCATGTGACCTTGGCCTGGTCATTTCTCTTCTTCTGACTGGGCAGTAGAGGATCGGTCAGGGAGACCCCCCTGCCTCTAGCTGAGAGCCCTATGGGCTGGGCCGTTTTATTCATAGGGGTGACCTTTTATGGGGTGTGGCTAGGACTCTGGTGGATGGGGTCCTGGGGTCAGCCTTGTGATGCTGCTGCCACCTGGGGTGACCTTTTATGGGGTGTGGCTAGGACTCTGGTGGATGGGGGCCTGGGGTCAGCCCTGTGATGCTGCTGCCACCGGCACCTCTGCAGGAGGAAGCGTAGCTACAAACAGGCTGTGAGTGAGCTGGACGAGGAGCAGCAGCTGGAGGAAGAGGAGCTGCAGCCCCCCCGGAGCAAGACCCCTTCCCCTCCCTGTCCAGCCAGCAAGGTGAGTGGGCATCTGCCGTCCCTCGGTGCCCCCGGCCTGCCCGAGTCCTGACCCTGGTCCCCATCTGCAGGTGGTACGGCCCCTCCGGACCTTCCTGCACACCGTGCAGAGGAACCAGATGCTCATGACCCCGACCTCAGCCTCCCGCAGCAGCGTCATGAAATCCTTCATTAAGCGCAACACTCCCCTGCGCGTAGACCCGAAGGTGAGGGAGCCCGCGCCCCAGGCCAGGCTCCGCGGGAGGCTCCGGGGTGCCCCCTTGGCTGCGGGGAGCAGCGTGGGTCTGGACCAGCTCCGGCCTCTCTGACCATGGGCTCCCTCAACATCTGGGGACTGCCCTGACCTCTTGGGCTCTGTGCTGTGTCCTGGAGGCTTGGCCAGCTCAGTGCGACCCCTGGGTCTTGGGCCGTGGGCTGAGAAGCTGCAGAATTTCCCACCCTGCGCATCCGTCCCACACCCCCAGGTGGGGGACACGTGGGCGCTTCCACTTGTTGGGGACGGGGGCCGGGCGGGTGAGAGGAGGTGGTGGAGCGTGGCCCCAAGCAGACTCGCTAGCGTGGCCAGGAGCCTGGCCTCGCGTTGACTCTGGGCTTTCTCCTTGTCTCCTCTCCACAGTGCAGCTTCGTCGTAAGTAAAGGTTTTCCTGTCCTTGTAACCTAACTCTGCCTAGCACTTAGCCGCTCGCTGTAGCCCTGTCCTTGCAAAACCAGCAGCGCCAGTGGAAGCACTAACATCCTAAGCAGGAGCGTCGAGGGAGGTGGGAGGTGGGAGGTGAACCAGAGGCGCTGGGCGGCTGGCCGGAGGTGCCAGCAGTTCCGGAGCCAGGCCTCCCTGCCACCTCTGCCTTCGGCTCTGCTACCAGGAGCAGGAGTCCCCGAGCCTCCTTGAGGCAGGAGGAGGCAAAGGATGTGTGACCTCCAGCTGCTCCCCGGGGCCACAGCTCGTGTTCCCCACAGCCACCTCCCTCTCTCCTCGTCAGCACTGGGCTTCCCTTCAGGGTCTGAGGCTGTGAAGAGAACAGACAAGTCACAGGGCCACTGAGATTTGTTGGGTCACATACTCAAGTTACTTCCTTGAGGGGAGGGCAGAGCCGTGGTGGTTGAAGGCCATTTGCAGGCAATGGTGGGACTGTCGGCAGCGGCCTCCGGAAAGAAGGCCACAGAAGCTGTTCTCTTCTCAGACACCTCAGAGCTGAGCTGGGCCACTGGCCGTGAGCAAAGAGCCACAGAGAGCTGGGACTTGCTGGGCCCGCAGTCCTGCCTCTCTGGGGTCTCCTGCGTTGCATCCCTTTAGTCCCCATTGGCGCTTCGAAGGGTCTCCTATCAGGAGGGCGTCTGCCCCCACCTGGGGCCTCAGGGCCTCAACAGCACTGCCATGGGGCTTGGCAGCTCCAGGGGCTCCCCTGCAGCCTGGCAGGTGGGCCCTGAACCTGCTTCTGCAAGAAGGCTGGTCCCCTCTGGGTGGCCAAGGCGACAGCTTGCTTTCCAGTATACTAGCAATCGGGCTCTTTGGCCTTATGCACCTATTTTTCTGCCAGGCCCCTGCCAGGCACCTGGGCCCACAGCAGTGAACCAGACTCAAACTTGTTTCCCCTACAAGGAGCCTCTGTGTCCCCCTCAGGCTGATCAGAGCCTTGCAGGGCTCATGGGGATGACCGAGAAGCTGCCTTTTCCTGCTCTGAGGAGCCCAGGTCCCTGCCCTGGGCATCTGGTGAGGGTAGGACAGTCTTAGTTAGGAGACCAGGGGTCTAGGTAGGTTGCAGGGGCCTTGAGGCCTCGGACTAGTTTCCTAACATTTGGGCCTAAGTTTCTTTGGTTACAAAATGAGGAAACCAAAGGTCCCTTCAGAAATGGGATGAACCAGAGAGTAATGTGTGTCAAGCACCCAGCACAGAGCTTGGCATGAAGGGACACTGCTCAGTTGAAACCCCTGGAGGCTGCACAAGCGTCTGCATTCCTCCCACCTTCTGCATTGGCCTTGACGTTGGCCGCTGGGAAGCAGGGACGAGCCAGCCCACCTTCAAGGGGTTGGGGCAGAGAGGAAATATAGGTTCTGTGACATGAACAATTCTTGTTTTCTGTAAAATTCACAATGTAACGGGATAAGTTCTCTGAACTGTTTTGGGAAATTTTAGCACTTAAGTTTGGGGACAAAAACCTGTTTTGCTGAGCCCTGTCGAAAGCAGGAGTCGGTCAGCTCTCGGGGCAGAAAGAGAGGGTGGCGGGCACTCCGTGGGCCATGGGGCCTTTGCCTCCAAGGCACTTTCCTCACAGAACACCAGGTGGGCGTGGTGTGCCGGTGGGGCGGAGAGGGGGAGGTTGGATGGGGGTCCTGCCTCCCCCATCTTTCCTGGTCTGGCGGTTGGAGAGTGAGCCAGCCAAAAGAAAGGCGTTCCCCAGCTCTTGGGGGCCTCCCTTCCCCTTGGGGGCCTCCCTAGGCCAGCAGCCCCCTCCGGGTCCTCTTGCACCCCCTCAGCTTCTGTGGCTCATGGTCATCTCTCTTTCTTTCCATTTCTCCATCTTTAAAAAAAAAACTTATGTTAAAAAAGTTATACAGTAAAGTCTACGTTAAATACCACCATACAGTAAAATCTGTACTTCGTAAATGTTCACTTGAACTTAGTGTTCCGTTTTAATTTGTCTATTGTGATTTTGCAGTGTTTTTTACTGGTTGCTCTAGGCATCACATCCTAAACTTTCAGTCACTTTAGAATCGATTGTCTTATCATTTCAATTGGAATTAGAAGCCTTACTACCCTCCGCATTGTGTGCTATTTTTGTCTTAATCCCCCCACGTTGACTGCCCTGTCAGACAGTGTTAGAATTTTTGCTTCCAACTGTCAAACGTTTTAGAGAACTCAAGAGGAAAAGAACAGTCTATTGATATTTACCCAGGTGTTTATCATTTCTATGGCTCTTCCTTCATTCTCGATGTTTCCTGTGTCCTTCTGGTGTCCTTTCTCTTTCGTCCTGAGAACACCCTTTACCTGGCGATTCTTCTTCGAAGACAAGTTCGCTGGCAACAGATTCTGTACTTTCTCTACATTTGAGGAAGTCTATTTTACTTCATTTCTGAAGGATGTCTTCCCTGAAAATAGAGTTCTGGGTTCACAATTCTTCCCTTTCGGCACTTACTTCCTTCCGGCCTCCATAGTTTCTGACGAGAAGCTTCCAGTCATTCAGATCATTGTCCCAGATAAGTAATATGTCTGTGTGTGTGTGTGTGTCTGCTTTTGAGAATTTTTCCCTTTGTATTAAGTTTTCAGCGGTGTGTTTATGAAGTGGCTAGACTTGAGTTTCCTTGGGTTTATCCTGTTTGGGTTTCAATGACCTTGAATCTGTAGATTTATATCTTACCAAATTTGGAGCTTTTCCAAGCCCTTATGTCTTCACACTTTCTTTCGTGCATTTCATTCCTTCCTCTCCATTGTAGGAGGACAGTGGCACAAATGATACACCTTTTATTGTCATCTCACACTTGCCTCAGGCTATATTAATCTTTCTTCAATGTCTTTTCTCTGTGTTTAGCTTGGATGGATTTTTATTAATTTATCTGCATGTTCACTGACGTCTATCTGCTCCATCTGCTCTTGGACCCAGCCATTGACGCATCCATTGATCCATTATTTCAGTTATTGTATTATTAGTTCTAAAATTTCCATTGTGTGTTACTTTAGATCTTCTGCTTGCTGAGATTTTCTGTTTGTCCAGTTGTCTTAAGAATGTTTGTGGTTACTTGTTAAAGCATTTTTGTAATAGTTGCTTATAAGGTCTTTACAAAAATTTTAATATCTGTCATCTTGACATCGGTGGCTGTTGTCTTTTCCCACGGGAGTTGAGATTTTCCTGGTTCTTTGAATGGTGAGTAATTCGGGGTTTTATCATGGGCCTTTTGACTATTACGTTAGGAGACTGGGTCTTATTTAAATTTTATGGAGAATGTTGATATTTTGCTCTATCAGTAACCCACCTGGTCTGGTTCAGGCTGCAGGTTCCTACCTGCCTTCTGTGGAGTGTGGTTCCAATGTTAGTTCAGATTTCAGAGCTATTGCAGAGCCATTTTTTTTCTTTAAAAATATCTTTTTTTAAACTAAGGTATAATTGACATACAACATTATATTATTTCCAGGTGTACAATATAATGATTCGATATTTGCATATATTGCAAAATGATCACCACAGTAAGTCTAGTTATCACCACACAGTTACAGAATTTTTTTTTTCTTGTGATGAGAACTTTTAAGATTTACTCTCTAAGCAACATTCAAATAGGTAATACAGTATTATTAACTATAGTCCCTGTGCTGTATTACGTTACTTATTTAGTTTACAACTTGAAAGTTATGCTTTTTAATTCTCTTTACCCATTCGGCCCACTCCCATCCCCCCCTACCGCGCCTCTGGCAACCACTAATCTGTTCTCTGTCTCTGTGAGCTCCGTTTTTGTTTTGTTTTTTTAAATTCCAAATATAACCAAGATCATGTGGTGTTTGTCTTTCTCTGTCTGACTTAGTTTGCTTACCATAATGCCCTCCATGTCCATCCATGTTGTCACAAATAGCAAGAGTTAATCCTTTTTATAACAGTATTATTCCTTTGACTATGTAGATCACATTTTCTTCATCCGTTCGTCTGTCACTGGATACTTAGATCGTTTCCATATCTTGGCTCTTATAAATAATGCTGCAGTGAACATGGGGTGCAGATATCTTTTCGAGTTGATGTTTTCCTTTTCTTCCGATAAATGGCTAGATCAGATGGCAGCTCCGTTTTTACTTTTTTGAGGCCCCTCCATACTGTTTTCCATACCGGCTGCTGCAGCAGGTTCCCGTAACTGCTCCTGTCCCTGTTGTCACAGGGTTGCTTGTGGTCTGGAGCATGAGAGAAGTGAGAAATGAAAAATGGGATTTCTGCATCCTCAGAACTTTAACATTCCGTTTCTGCAACTTGAGGCAGAGCTAGAGGGCTTTTCCCAGAGTTCTGTCTGCACCCCGGCGATCCCTTGAGGGTGTCAGGCCTCACTGACTTTAGGCTGGAGGGGAAAAAAGTAGCAAACTCACTGCTGGTTCGGTGTTGCTTCAGAGTCTGATCTTCCCCACCGGCCTGCTACTGTTTCCTTTGCAAAGGCCTCAAATAGACGGCTGGTAGGCTTCACGGCTATTCAGACCGAGTGGAGTCCGTCTACCCGCTCCTACGCATGACCGTCCTACGCGTTACTGGAGCCCTTCTCTCTACCTTTAGGATTGTGTTACCTTGCAGCCAGATTTCTAGGTGGGTAGTCTGCCATCGAGGTCAGAGGCCAAGGAAGAATGGACAGTAAATAGTGCAGGGAGAAGGAGGCCTGTGGATGGCTGAGCCCAGCGCTAGGAGTCTGATGGGTGAGGGGCTCTAGTCCGAGTCCCAGCCCCGTCTCTCACCCCCCACCACCACTCAGGAGTAAAGCCGGTTCCTTGTCCTTGTCCTTGTCCTTGTCCTTGGCCAGGGAGGGCTGGAAGCCCCACCTGTCCCGCCTTTTGTCCCCCTGCTGTGGCCTGGTGCCTGGGGCTTTCTGGGCCTGCGGACAGGGTGGGGTCCCAGCATCCATCTGCTTAACAAGCAACGGGTACTTTTAAAAAGTTGTTTTTAAAATTATTATATAGCAGTATCCACAGGAAATTTGGAAAATAAAAGAAAAAATACCATCCCTGATCTATCTCAGCAGCCTATAGTAATGTCCATTATCATTTAGCAATATTTTCTTTTATTTTTCTTAACTATTATGAAATAGCTGATATACACAAGAGTCTGTGTATATGTACATATATACAGAGTATAAAAGTTATAAATCATAATAATAATGAATTCGCAATCTCATTTTTCATTCTCCTTCCAAATGCACTTTTACATAGTTCCCATCAGAGCACACATCCAATTTTGGACCTGATCTTTGTGCTGCCCATGATTTGGCAGGGCCCAGTCGAGGGCACACGTGACTCAAGCCCTTGGGAGGCCTAGGGGCTCCTCAGAGGAAAGATGGAAGCCCCGGGCCTCAGTCTGGGTGGGGATGGAGATGTGTTTGGGAGTGACACTGCCCATCTGGCTGGGGGTCGGGGGTGGGGTCCAGGGCCAGCCGCAGCCCCAGCCCAGCACTGGGCGGTCCTCGCTCACCCCGCCTTGCACCCCAGGAGAAGGAGCGGCAGCGCCTGGAGAACTTGCGGCGGAAGGAGGAGGCCGAGCAGCTCCGCCGGCAGAAGGTGGAGGAAGACAAGCGGCGGCGGCTGGAGGAGGTGAAGCTGTAAGTGGCCCCCGGCCCCCCAGCCCCCCAGCCCGCCATGGCCGGCCCCCCTGCCCTCCCCATGCCCGCAGGAAGCGCGAGGAGCGCCTCCGGAAGGTGCTGCAGGCCCGGGAGCGGGTGGAGCAGATGAAGGAGGAGAAGAAGAAGCAGATCGAGCAGAAGTTTGCTCAGCTGGATGAGAAGACCGAGAAGGTGCGAGCTGTGGGCTCCGGGTGGGGCGTCCCCCTCTGGGGTCCAAGTGGGTCGACTTGGTGGCCCGAGGGTTAGGACCGGCTTCCAGGGCCCCCTCCCCTGGGCTGGGAGGGACAAGCGGGTTTGCAGGCCATGGGGTGCCCGTCGCAGAGCTCCGGGGCCCCCTCTGTATGGATGAGTGGGGAGGCCTGCTCTAATGGGCACATGCGGGTGGGCTCTGCAGGCCAAGGAGGAGCGACTGGCTGAGGAGAAGGCCAAGAAAAAGGCAGCGGCCAAGAAGATGGAGGAGGCGGAGGTGCGCAGGAAGCAGGAGGAGGAGGCTCGGAGGCTCAGGTGGCTCCAACAGGTGCGAAGGCAGGTAGACAGAGGGACTTGGCCATCAAAGAAGAGGTGGGCAGGACAGGTACTGCCTCAGCCCCCGGGGACCACAGGGCACACCCTGCTTTGTGGAATTTATCCTGGTGGATCTTGTGGCTTCAAGCCCTGAGGAGGCTCAGCAGATGCTTTGGTGATGGGGGTGGTGACAATAACCTGCCTCCCGTTTTCTGTAGTTTGAGGGTGATGCACATGGACTCTCAAGCCAGACTCCCAGTCTCCACTCTGCCCTTTATTAGCTGTGTGACCCTGGACAGGTCACCTGACCTCTCTGTGCTTCAGTTCCTTCAGGTAGCATGCGGTGTCTACCGGGTAGGGCTGTTGTAGGACACATTGTTCTGCCGGCCAGAGCAGGGGCCCACCTCTTCCTGGGACTGTCAACCTTTTGACTCTAGAGACACGGATCTGCCGTTAGGGGGTTACAGTACTAACGGCTCACATTTGTTGAGTATTTACCACATGCCAGGCACTGTTCTAAGTATGTTATATGTGTAAACTCAGCATCTTCACGAGGCGTAGAGATTGCTGTTGTTTCCATTTAACCAATGAGGAAATCCAGGCCAGAGGGCTTACGGCATAGCCCAGTGTCACACAGTTAGGGGGTGGCTCCAGGCCGTACCCTGAGCTCAGCCTGCTGCAGCATCTTGTCACAAGATGCGCTTTCAGGCTTCTGGTAATGACTGTGCCGCCTTGCTTGGGGTGACCCTGGGCTCGGCCCCTGACGATCTCTGATGTGACGGGAGCCAGCACCCCCTCCTTCCCAGACCTCTGTCGCCCTGTCCAGCCCCAGCC